CTAAAATAGGTCTGGCAGGTACAGCTTGTCAATGGGTGTGGTAAACTTGGCTGTGGCGAGCATCAGTACATATACAATAAATACACGTTTCCCAGTTCACCAATATAAGACACTCCCGTAAAATATATATAGCCACACATCCGTGCTTTAAAGTACGAAACCGATGAATACGCGTGATTTATTTGGTTTCAGATATTAATACTATACTGATATAGTGGCATCGACGTGTATCGCTACGTCATAATCATCAGGCACATGTGGCGAGGGTAGCACCTTTTTGTTTTGTTCAGGTAGACAGGTAAGGAGGATGACGTCATATTTGCTTTAATGTTTTATGTTGAATTTGATACCAACTAATATATTGTAACCTAAATCAAGGCTTAGCGCTATGACTGATTAATACCACATTAGATATTTAAGTTAATGTAGGTGTAACTACTGCCATGCATTAATTAGGGTTGAGAGATGTAAGATTCGTGTTTAGTACTTTAGCGTAATAGTGTATATTTTAAGGAAACATTTACGAATTCCAGAGGCAACTCTCTCTCAAAGTACACGCCCTGCAACCTGTATACGATATAGCACAGGTGTTTGCAGGGTTTCTGTACCGGAGACTGCCTTTGACATATCGTATGCTTCGATATTGGAGACGCTGGCGGAAGCTTCGTTGAGATTTGTCACCACGGCGGAAATATAATAATCAATAACCTCAGGCCACTAGTGTTGTCCGTGAGGTGTGGTGTAATCATTAACATGATCTCCACGCCTTCACCGTACCTCTCTCCTCACTCAGACCTCGGCATGGTAGGCTGTAACGCTGTGTTATGTACCCCTTAACCGTGCCTCTCTTCCAAGCCGCACATCGTCACATTCGTTTGCAGCCAAGTGACTTCCCAGCACAAATTCATTTTTTTGGGAAGCGTTGTGTTATCAACACCTTCACTCTGTAGCTGGTACTAGTCGTTTTGTGTTATTTTCACCACAACCTTTCAATCCTTTGCTGTGTTTCTGTTCCCACGACACCATGTCATGATAGAGTATTAATGACAAACAGTGGAATATTCAAAAATGACCATTTTGTGTATCAATAGTTTGGTATTCTGGTATCTGTATATGCAGATACCATGTTTAGTGGTGCTCTTCAGGTTTCCGGAATAAACATTTATATAAAAGAAAAAAACACCAATGCAAGGTGTTTTGCTTTGGTTGTCTCGGGAAAGTCAATACAAACTACCATGACTCCCTACCCAAATCACAAAATCATTGCAACCCGTAGCAGATGGAAATACACACCAATGTACTGTCGTTCCCCTTGTCCACACCTCACCCTGCGTATACCGCAAAAACAACACACACAAAACCCCCATATTGTCTGATGAGACCTCAGACAATGTTGAATATATGCAACCCTTTTATCGTAACAGCGTATTTACGGCCACATGCACCGCCTCCAATCTACCTAGCAGAATTAGCAGGTACGTTTTTTGACCCGTAATGCCCTTGTATGCATATATACAATCTTGACTTCACGCTGATGAAAATCAATACTCGGTCCTCGATTCAAACTGCATCTATGCAAAGCTTTGAAAAATAAGAAAATGTGTACGTGCCTCGCTCGCAAGAACAAAATATGACCTAAAAAAATAACTGGCTTTTGTAATATGTTCAGCTCCGTTTTGGAGCCACATATATGTTGTGACTATACGTCGTCTCCATAAAATCAATCAAATATTCATTAGTGTTTGTGGTGAACTAGCGTACATGTTGACAATGAAATACCCAAGCTACATCGTCATATGACCCATTGTAGTTCTTGTCAATTATTTTAAAGTCCATCATGTTATATTTTAGTGTAAAAAAAATTCTGACATGGCTGGGACGGTAAGTAAATAATTTTGCAAACAGTTTGGTATTAAAAAGAATCATTCTGGTGCCTCAATTATGTCACATTGGTCGCCCCTTCGAATTAAAGTGTCGTCCCCTGATAGTTCCTGGATATTTGATGAAGTGCATTCTTGCGGTAACCTTTATGAATATAGTAGCCATGCATTGGCAGATTCATAGGCAAATATAGGAAGATTTCAGAAATTCCATGGTCTGTACCTGCGTTCAAAATGGGCAAAACTATATGCAAAGGAAATTCACCAAATAGGTTTCTCCTGATGTCAAGAATACCCCTCTAGGTAAAACAATGCGATTATATTTTAATAAGAGGGCATTTAATAAACCGGAAGTTGCTTCACGTGTAAACAGGTGTATCACGTAAACCATTCAAGTATGCTTCGATCTCCGATGATATCATATGACTCCCTTTGACTCGCAATGAAGAAAGGTTTTGCAGTCGATTTGCAGGATAATCGTTCTGCTTCTGTGTCACAGGCAATCACAGATGTTCTTCGTAAAATGTTAGGTTGTAGATAAGACATCTAAGTAGATTCATAAAAAATGTTGTAGTATAAAAACACAGTTGCAAAATAAGTGTGCATTTTACTATAGAGATCTTCATCAGCCGGAATCCCGGGGGGGGGGAGGGGGACCACAGACCTTTCTGATAGCATGAAAATGCCAATACCTCTTCGTTTCTTCACATTTGATACAGACCAAAATGTACAACTTGAACAATCGTGTATTAGGGTAAGTAAACGTATGTTTCTTGGCTATTCCAAATGGTAACAGTAGTACGGGGTCTTTTCATCAGATTATGAGTCAAGACAAAGAGACAACGAAGGAAATCAAGATCATGTTATCTAAGAAGAGTGTACGAGTGCTGAACAATGACGCCATTTCAGATTGAATGACACTCAATGATGAAGATCTACTAAACACCTTAACATTTCATCTCTTCACTACACCCCCGCTGTACTGATACAGCAGGGGATTAAGTGAGTCAACATGCCATTCACAACATTTCCTTTTCATTTCAATTTTTTACGTTCTTACAGGTAACTAGGTACTAATATATGTTTCTGTCTTGTTTACATCTCTACTCGAATTCCAGTAGGTGATCACTCTCTCAGTTGAAGAGGTTGATCACCACTGCATTTAAAAGTACAATATGCACATGGAATAGCTGACGAGAAGATATTTGTTATAATTGTCTGCATATTGTTTCTCCGTATGTGTTCTTATTTGTCTATGACTGACTCGTCACAAAGGGAGGAGTGTACTTTGACTGGATAGCTGTATAATGTAGTAGTATATAGATGATAAACAGTTTATCTCACTGCGTTTATAAGGGTTGCTGTTTTCACACCGTATTTGCTATGGTATCACACTGTTTTCAAGGATTGTTTCGTACTTAAATAACATATTTGGTACACCTGCAGTGTCATCATGAGTTTATGTACGTCCTCGCGATGTAGAAACTGTTCTCACGGCAATGTGGCAATCCAGTATGATTTAAATCTGGTACAAAATTGTTGACAATATGCTAACAAAAAAACCTTTCGAAAGATTTTACAAAAGTGTCATCCTAACCGTCATTCTAACCCACAATCAATAGAACTAGGGAAAAGGTAACAAAGAACGATTAACACGGAGGCGCTTAAAAAGTACAGAAAGAACAATACAGGATGGTCAAGACTAGTAATGGTCCCCTTCGACACTTTCCATGTAAATCTAAGTCAAATCTAAGAAATGTCGCGTCCTCAAAGTGAGACCTGGGTCAGTGACAACAAAACAACAAGACAAGATAATGAGCATAAGTAAAGAAATAACCTATTTTGAAATGAGATAATGAAGGCGACCATGAGCTTTGTCCGGTATCTTTTGAAACACTGTCTTGTAACTTTGTCTTGCAGTAGTCGACATCTATCAACACAGTCATGATATTCGTAGAAACGCAGAAAGCTCTTGAGTACCAGATCAACGGCGCAATGTACAATGTAACGAGCGAAGGTAAGAGAAACAAACAGAGGGGTTACAATAAAAAAGGGAAAGTTCACGATTATAAAAAACAAATCGTCGCGCTTATCAAACAGCTTAGTTGTAAGTTGTCCCTCTTGGGCTTGAAGTGAGTACAGATTCGGGAAAGCAGCTGAAGGAGAAAATTATGTAAAGTTCTTGATTTCAGATTCTTAGTTTCTTATTTCTGAAAGCATATCGTAAATTCTTCTGAAATGGAAAATTGGCTAGGTTTTTGTTACCTGTTCTTATTATTTCTTCAATAGATTCAGTTTACCATATGAAATATAAGATATTGTCAACAAGGACCTCAGTCATTTTTCCGATTTCATCCTGAATTTATTTCATTTTGGCATTTTTGTTTTTAATTTATGTAATATGGAATTGTTATTCATACCACACGTGTTGTAACCAGAACCATTAACAATAGTTACGTTGTGGCTTTTAACATATGGATATTGTTTGTCACATCTAATCATTCTAATTCGTTGACTCGACGTAAATTTTCGTCATATTTATTTGTTCCTTTCCTCAGATGCAATGGAAAACATCGTTATCACGTACGTTTCCAGTGATTCCTGAGAAAACCATTGCACTTGAAATGTGTCATAGAGAACACTTTAGTATTTTAGAACGGCTTCCTTTCATTGGTATATCGACAGTGTTGTAAGTTGCTTGGATTGATACGCCGTTTATCGAGCTCGAAAACAGGGTACATTTAAGTGAATCATAAACCATAATATTTTATGCAATCAGTAGATTGATGACCAAGAGCAAGCTATTGATGAAAACATAGCACGACTCTTTTTCAATACACAGAATATATTGTCAATGAATATGCATCATAGAATCCCTTATGGAGACCAAAAGATACTAACAAAACCGCTAATTAGAGACCAGTTTTTGTGAGGATAACATCCTCCCGTATAATCACCCAAGTCAAGAGCGGCCAAATTGGCCACCCCAACATTGTTAGCGGGCCGCAGACAGTCCAAAACCTCACGGGATTTCCTAGTGGATCAGACAGTTGAAACAGTCGATAATTGCATACTATTCATCAACAATACATGTAAGCTTCACAAATACGAAACACTCACCTATAATAGGGATTCCAGATGGTTAACTCAAATATCCACCTTAGGTAACTGTCCAGACTAACAAGGAAATCGTAACTGTCTAACCGTCAAGGACGGAAAATACAGAAGGTCCAGGAAAAATGGATGTCACCGCTTATATAGCATCGGTCCTTCCTACTACGCTGCTGAGCGACCGCGGGTAAATGTCCTCTGCGCGTGCTCACAATGTGAAACCGATTCCAGCGTGATGTCTGTATAGAGAAGCATGAACGCCAGATACGCTACAATCGATCGGTGGTTTGGCTGTGCTGTGACTGAAACGCGCCAGAACTCTGTACAACCATCGTATATTTGTCGTAAAAATACGTCTCTCTGCTTTGGTTTCATCTGCGTTAAAAACACGAATTGAATTAAAATGGGAGAGTTTTTGCGTTTAATGATCTCTGCCGACGCCTGAAGTGTGTGTTTGACATTATATGATAGAACTTGACAATTATTTTCTGGTATGTCAAATCGCATGTCTCATTACCATCGATGCCTGGGGCAGTTGTGGTATTTTCAAATCAATGGTTCATATCATACTAGTGTCAATAGCCACGACCAAATAAAATCTAAATCAATAAAAAATCAAGTGTTATCTAAAATATAAGTACCAAGCTATAAGGATTACTAGATATTGATTGGAATGAAATCGATCTACAATACAGTACACCAATTCAAATACTACTGCCACTCCCGAATAGGTTGTCTCCCTCCTAAATGAGACTTATTATGCACAATCCCCAAAGGAGAATTAATATAAATAAACACATGTTTCCTTTTAACGCATACAAACAATGCAATATAGTCATTGTAGGCAGAAAGATGATAACGCATTGTCATCATAAATAAAAGAATAATTCAATATGCAAGCGTGACCGTATGTTGCATAATACTCACTATAACTTTTCTATTTTGAAAAAAATATATATTCATTTATGTCATGGAACAAAAAAAGATAAGTTGGTATTATCCATGTACCTGGAATAATATTTTGTTGTTGTATTTCTTTTAATTCAAATATTACATTTTTTTTACTTATTATTATTTTGTGTCTTTTAATTTGAATGTTAAAAAGGAAGAAGATTTGTCTGGGAACTAAAATCATGTAAGTGATGCATTTGAAACTGTTAAATGGATAAACGATAATACACGACGCTGTTACCCTAGCCGCGAGAATGAGAACGTTAATGAACTTTTTGAAGCATTATGGACAGCATTACAATTGATTTAATTGATTTATATACACCATAAACGAAGATCAACGTGGTTTATGTTTCATGTTTGGTTTAGGTACATGTTTTTTAACGTCCTAATGCATCTTTAAGGTAATTTAGGACGTGTCTCCATATGTGTCGTGTAAGCGTGCATGTGTGTGTGTATGCAGGTGACAGGCTATGTTAGTGTGAATGCTTTCCTGTAATAGCGAAGATCTAACGCCGACTTAGTATTGGTACCGCACCTAAATATCATGACGAAGGCACCCAGCAGTAACCGCCCGATCACAATATACTGGGAACGGGTGAACCATTTGTTGCTATATCCTTAATGCTGAACGTTAAGCAGGGAATAACAACTACCCTTTTTAAGGAATTTGGTATGTCCCGGCCAGGGGACTGAACCAATCGCCTTCCTCATCTCGGCGAACGTTCAACATTAAAGCCGTTTAAGAAAAAGTATGATGTTTTAGTTTAGTTTTTAGTACTACCAAATCAAGAAAAATCATAGTTTATTGAAAGAAAATCGAGATGAGGCAAACAACCGAAGTTGTCTCTGTGTTTGGATAAAGTTATTAAAGACGAAAAGAGTGCAAGAGAATGTATTGAAAGCCGGGTTAATTTCCTTCTGTTTCTGTAGCAAGAGATAGTTATATGAAGGCAGACTCCAGTGCCAAAACCTAGAGGAACTGTTATCAAAACAATAGCATTCTGGAAATACATTATTTGAACCTGAAAAAGAGGAGGGGACAGGCAGGTAGCAGTACGTACAAATGTAGGTGAAATAAAAATGAATGTTTTGGGAATAACTGCTTGTGAACAATAAAGATATCTATTATAATATTTGACTATGTATGTCATTATTACTTTCAATAACGAATCATACCAGAGGCATGGACTACTGGGAACGCAGATATATATCATGATGATACATATTAAGGAGAAAATAAAGATACTTACAAATACATCTATTTAATCGGTCTGAAGGCTTGTTCAAATTAAAACTCAAACACTCAGCAGTAGATGCAGAATTTGTATTCTTATTATTGAATAGATTTATTTGCATTTCCGCTACAAGTCTCTACATTCAACACCAGAAACAAATTCATATATAGATTTGTGAACGTCATTGGATCAATGTCTCCTCCCGCCTTGCTTCACACGAGACCTTTGTAAGAAGCAAGTTTTAAGATTACATTAGGCTTTTCAAGGAATGTCGTTTTGACCGATACAAACATTTGAATACCGCAATTGTTTAAAAATACTTTACATTTATAAAACTAGAGGATTTCAGTCGACACAGATGAAACAGATTTTCGTCGATATATTCATGTCATATAAAAATGTGTATATACATACCATGGGGTTATGCCAAATTAGGGTCAGCTTGGAGACCGTTCGAGATAGGAGGGGGTAAAGTGGGGGACCAAAATCATGATTCCATGTCATATCATGATGGCATAACCCCAAGGTATGTACACGTAGATACATACATATATGTAGCCTTCTTTGTTGTCCTAATGCTCATCAGTATGAATCAGAGGCCAGTACTTATTTCGTTGATAAATCTCAGTAGCACCGTCTTGGTTAAATGTTCATAATACGCAACATAAACTTATATTTTTTTCTTTTCTTTTTGACATATTATCATTTTGTGTCTTTTTCCTTTGAAAATTATTTTGAATAACATTTCAGATATGTATACGCAACTGTTAAATGTCACTGTGTGTGTTAACAACACCGGATATTGATAACACCAAGTGGGTTTCTGTTGCAGGTGATTTTATTTTTATATTTTCCTTACTTCAGAGGCTTGTATGTTCCTGGGGCTTTTTGGATCAATTTCTCACATTTTCAGCAATGGTTTAAACCACAGAGACCATTCCTATAAGGGTCAATATTTCTTCTAGACTTGCAAATACGCCGCCTGGTATCTGCGAAACTCACGAATGATACTTATCACGTGTCTGAATTGATATTTGTAGTGTTTGTTTCGATAAAATTTCACTACCTATAACTGTTTAATATCTGTATGCATACCATACATTTATCGTTTTTTGTACTCGTTGTAAATTATGAAAAATATAGTAATCTAAAAACAGTCAAGTTGCCGCACAGTTCGACGAAATATTTTTGACGATATTTTATTAAATACAATATTTTCACTGACATAATGGATGTGTGTAATGCTGATACATCTTTATTTAGTTGTAGGTAGTACAATATGTAGAGGAAAGTAATACAAATGTTAATTTAGACACATGATAGTTATCACTCGTACATTTTTGCCGATACCAGACGACGTGTTTGTAAGTCTGGAAGAAATATTTACCCATATATGAATGTTTTCTATGGTTTAAGTTAACGCTAAAAATGCGAGGTATCGGTCCAAAAAACCTCAAGCACATAACGGCCTATAAATTAGGAAAATGTAAAAAAAATATTAACTTCAACTGCAATCCACCTTGTGTGATCAAAAGTAATCGTTGAGTGGAAATTTCGAGTAAGCAACACGAAAACAACGAGATCATTTATTTTTCTTTGTTGTCCTAATGCCCATCAGTATGATTCAGAGGCCAGTTTTTATTTTGTTTATAAATCGCAGTAGCACCGTCTTGGTTAAATGTTCATAGCACGCAACATAAACTTATATTTTTTTTTTCTTTTTGTGTTTTTTTTTTCAACAATGTCATATTATCATTTTTTGTCTTTTTCATTTGAAAATTGCTTGAATAAGAAAGATTTGTGAGGAAATTAACAACATTTTAGATATGTAAATGTCACTGTGTGTGTTAACAACACCGGATAGTAGACATTTCTCATTTTGAGGCAGACCTACCACGGTGCCAGAGACGGACACTGAGAGTAGTAAAATCAGGGAACATCTCAAAATTATTTTTCATTTCATCTGTATTAAGGATTCCTTCCTGTCCCCTGCTTGCGACAAAACATTAAAGAACGATATTTTAGTGCTCCTCATAACTGCAGTAACATCCCCTGATTTTCATTACATGTACAACTGATAAACCACTCTTGGCTGATCTCACCTTACTGGTTTCTTTTTCAGATTTTTCTTTTCTAAATTACGGTTTATACTGAACACAAGGACTCGTTGAAGGCTAGAGTTGATCGCAGTAGTATAGAAATCCGAAAATTCACTCCCCTGAAATGATCCCTAAAATAGTCTTCTAAAATAGCATCAAATGAGTTTGCCCCCCCCCCCTCCCCCCATATTTAGATATTTTCGTTGTGTTGCATGGAGAAAAATCCATGAAAGCTGTCGATTTAAAACTAAGTCGAAAATAGCAGAAACTGAACTTTTCTTCTGTGGTTATTTTTCAGGAGAATAAACAAGAACATATGTCAATACAGAAAACCACTCTTTTATGGCTAATAGTGTAGCTTATCTAGTGTTTAAACAGATGACAGAATAATAAAGGTCGCTTCGTCGCCATCATGTTACTCTTGCGAAAGAACATTGATAAACGTTACTTTGCCACGAAGGGATGCTAATAAACGGCCCCTTGTCCAACTACCTCTATACAAAAATGCAAAGGAATGAAGTGACGAAAATGTGTGGAACAAGTACTTTCAGCTTAGCGCTATTATAAAAAGACACCGTGTAAGCGTTAAACATTTCTTTCGTAATATGGAAAAATCGTGTCCTAGGAAGTTTGTGGATGGTAAATGTAATCCACAAATGTATATGTGATCCCTGTCACTCTGGTAATTTTGGTTCGAATTTCTTTTAAGGACTTCCCACCCTTCGTAATATACATGTTTTTCTTATCGTATTTTCGTGTCGTCATTTCCGTATTGCGTATGGGCATTCCATTACCGTAGTGTAAATTATAGTAACGCCGGGTAAACAATAGTACACGTGCGTGACGATGATATGTCAACACCCGGTATCGAGACTTGACTTGGAAATGTGTAATCATACGTACTTCAAAAATAAAGCTTATGATACAAAGACATTAATTAACTCACGGGAAAACACTGAAAACACTGACATTCGATTAGACGACTTCAAGAAGGTCGTATATGAGGCGCATGGAATG